CGATCGGAGCTACTTATAAAATAATATAGCCTCCCCCACGAGGGGTTGAAAAATGTTTACCTGGGCGTAAGGAGCCCTTAGACTCATTTCACTGCTGATATTTAAAAATATGCAGGATCGAAATATCCTGCCTTTACCTTCACGGTATTTGCGTGAACTTCTTGGAGGGGATGAATTGGAAATGTTATCAGGGTAGTTTGTAACGATGGCTCATTCGTAAGGTTGTTAGAATTCGTTGCGAATTAATCAGGATGGAAGCGTAAGTGAAGAAAGAAATGAAGAAGAGAATGAAGCCGGGTTAGAAAGTTACAATGGCAACCGGCAAGGTTACGATCTATTAATTAAAGCCACTGAGGATTAATTGTGCACGTGCCGAAAGCATGCCGAGCTACTGGCAATTCCTGAAATGACCAGGTCTCGTTTCGCTGATTCGATTCTCGTAATTAGCTTCGTTCGAATCCGGTTGGCAGATTTTATTCTCTCATTGCACAATTGATTAACGTACCTATAACGATGTAGATATAAACAATGGTTAGTAGCGACCTGAACGCTTACCCTTAATTACCATTATTTTAATTATCCGTACGTTATCACGCCAGCTGTGTAACGATAAGCTCCTAATAATTTTACCAAAATTTAATTACAAATACAGCTTGAAAAATAATTTTATACCTTACCGTACTATAATTTGCACACGTGCATTGTGCTAATATCCATATGTAGCGTAGCATGCGAATATCAAAGTGAATTCTAGGCTTTAATACAGGCTGGACAATGATTCCTGACGTATTGCGTGTATGTTGTTCATTACAGCAGTTCGCTGATACAATCTCTCGTTACAATGTTATTACCAGCATTAAGCTTATTTCATCCCGAAAAAGTTTCCTCTAACAAATTGCTTTCACCTGGTGCATTTACGCTTTTACTCATCACGAAGAAATCAATGGGGTTGTTTCTGTTTGTTTTTTCTATCCTTTCGAGTAGCCCGTGCTTATCGGGCGCAACGATTTCGCCCGGTGCAACGGACAGTGAAGAGATTCTGTATACATAAAAAAAATGTATTACTATGCAAACTAAAGAGGGAAATAAATTACATTTTGCTTTACGCGGAGCGGAATATTTTAGCGTAGTAATTTGCCCATATTGAATATCCGGGAAGTTTTGATGAAATATTGATCGTCGTCACGCATTGTGCAACGTCTGGCAATTTTAACGCATTTCGACTTTGCGTGTATACAAATTACTCTCGTCAATAGTGTTTATGTCACGAGAAACACTGGCTATATATCCAATTTTTCTTCGCTTCGTTCGTCGTCATCAATTCCAAAATCCTAATAGAGATCGAGATGAAGGAAAATGATGTAGGACAGTAATTGAATACCCATCTGTCATTTTGCCATTTCATACAGCTATAATAAAGCTGTCAATTGAAACATCTATCCAGTCAAAGAATATTCGATCGTAAACAGAAACTAACACCTACATGCTTCAAGTGGATTAAGAACTTTGCCATAACAACCAGACAAAACAATTCTCTCGAACGTATTTTCTGAACGTCACTCAAAGTAACTTTTAGTGGCATAAAGATACAATGATATTGAATAATGTACGATGAAATAAATTACTTACATTCTTTGTTCTTCTCCCCAGCGGCGCTCCATGACAGAGAACCAAGAACAGACAGCGTGAAGAAGAGGGTCCTGACGGCTTTGGCGTTGCTCCTGACGAGCCTGGCACCGCGACGCGCGGGCCATCCCCAGGAAGTATCGCTCATCTTCCTCAGCAAGGCCTCATCCGTACATAACGAGTGATTAAATTCGCATCCACGGAACCGGCATTAGACGACGCAGTGATGAGGTACGCGAACGCAGGCATAGCGACGCGTCGCGATCCGACACACCATATATGTAGAAACTGGCCGATAACGACGGAACCGAAATTATTACAATATTATACGAGTTTTATATTAACCACGAGTTCGCACCCAGGTATACACGCTCGTCGCTACCGTGGATCCTTACGAGCCGAACGCACGTACGCTATTGGCATCGAGAACTACTGGGATGCTACTCCGTGAGTTAGCTAGGTTATGACGACGATCAGCGCTTGAGGCCGCATGTATTATCGATCCACCCCCGCTGTTAAGCTATGGGATGGTTTCCTCAGCCATGCGCCGTAAGGTAACCGCGGACATTCAAACGTCGAGATATACGCGTCCCGACGTACATCGATGCTCGGCGGGTAGCGCAACACTTTTCGGGCGTCGTTCCCACCGGTGGGTAGCCATTGTTGTACTGTTCGTCACGTGACCTCTGCGCATGCGCATTAGGCGCTCTCAATTTTCGAATATTACATCTCCTCTAACATATAAATTATTTCATATATTTAATAGCCGTTTTGTAACTTTATACCGAATAAACTGATAGTCTAATATTTATCTTAAGATTACACATTCTATACAAATTATGGCACTTTAAATATATACAGTATAATGAACTTTAAATATCGGATTAAGTGTCCTTGTCTGGCACACGTAAAACATTTATAAGTCCGTCTCTCTCCCACTCACAACGAGTACAGAAGTAAATGGTTAAATATGAAATCAGGCTGAACCGCGATCGATGAATTAAAATGACGATTTCTCGATGAACACTTAAAAACTTGTTTACCTGGTTCTCATGTCCTCAAAGTGACTTCTTCGAGACGTCTTTCTGATATCTCTCCATAAAGATTTATAATTCAAATGTAGCCGCTACGACTTTCACAATGTTCTTAGCGAACACGTAACAATTACATTTGCTGTTTGACGATGAAAAAAAAATTGTTTTATCTAAACAACAATTCATTCATTATTTCCGTAGGACGTCGCAAATGTGTTTATACAGGAAACAGCCAAAGAAACCGGCATGACGAGTATTTGAACGCGTAACAATTTTAACCGTACACACGTAAGAATTCGACTTCTCGGAAGCTCAGAAGGCGAGAATCATACAAATTTAGATTTCACGATAGAAAAGCACAACAGTAAGTACAATCAGAAAGCCCCCGGTCAGCCGATATTAATCTACAATCATAAAGCTTACCCTGCCTATTATGTTTTCCCGACGGAGGACAATGGACGATATTTTTTCCAAAGAACCCAACGGAATAACCCAACACTCATTCGCATTCTAAAATAAGCTCCATAGAATTCGTCATCAAATACTAGATATACCAGTATAACATTCACATTAAACTTAACACTTTGAACATTCGTGTACCTTAAGAGAGAAAATCCAACAAGAAAGCTTTCGGCCCTGCTTCTCTGTAATACAATTTCACACTGAGGCTTCAATCGTTTACACACAATGACATGGCATCTATAGGTTATGTCGGGACTGCCCAAGTTTTATTCGTTTGAATGATACATTGATTCTATTCAGATATAATATACGTGCAATGAGAAAGCCATTTGAAACTTCTTGTATATTTATAGAAACCTCATTCAAGGTTGAAAGAACCGCACATTTTTTTCTCTCAATTCGCCCATGATAAATAGAATTTTTTTCTAAGTCTCATTGCGTGGTCTTCCGTTCACCTTGATTAAAGGCATCGATGACACGTATCCTTTTGGAATAATTATCACAGAGCAGACTAAATTGATACTATACCGATCCGTCGGTAAAGCGAAACCAACTTGACGACGCGCTAAGTGAAGGACGCCCGTACGTCATGGCAACGTTATCGCCGATAACTGCACTAACTTTTTTTTTAGATAATCCCTGATAAACGCTGATTTCGCGGAAATGCACTGTGACGTAACGATAAGAGAATTCGGCACGAATCACTTAAAAAATCATATATAAAAAGATGAAATTAATGTGCAAATTAGTTGACCCTTGACCCGAAAAAATCTCATGGAAAAAATGAGAGTTAGCAAGTAGTCTCGAATACGAGTAGGTGTCGCTAGCACATACCAGGTGTCTAATCGTACCCCTAGACCATTCGCTAACTGATATAAAATAGCAAAATGTACAAGATAAACTCTATCCAGAGCGTTGCACCAGTCTAGAATCAACCGGTGGACGCCATTGACGTCTCCACGCATTTATATTATATTTATACAGTGCCTGAAAAAGTTCAAAAGCTTTTATGTCATCGCTATAATATTCTGTACAAGCCTTGATATCTTCCTACGGTTTATGAGCTCAGGACTACAATATGCTGATTTCGCCAAGCAGCTGCAGTTGTGATGCGGGATAACCGCACGGAATTGTCGCACGCTTTAAACTCGCGCTACAACTTTCACACCTGTCGCATGAGGGACGTGCGCAAGTCTTGAGTCTTTCTTGAAAACCAGTCCTAATATAAAATTTCGCTCGGAGCGGCTGTCATGGACGTGCTCGGTTCTTTAAAAGTCGCGTACAGCGTGAAAAGCATGAAAAGAAAATTAGAAACTTAAAAAAAATTTTCAGTGACGAGTTTCCTTCATGAATCCACATGTACCGTGTATTTTTGTGAAGAAAGTTTTGATCCTGTTAATCAACTCAGCCGGAGCAAGAGGGAGGCATCCGATTTGTACGGTTTGAAAAAAAAAATAAACGAGCTTTCGCGACTCTATTTTTATTTTTGTTATTTTACCCGTAAAAAAGAGGCACAGAGCGAAACGAATGAAAAATATAGAAAAGTTAAAAGAGCAAACACGTGAGATGGAACTGTAATTTTTTTTTCGAAAAAAAAAAAAAAAAATAGGAAAACCAAATCATGGACCGTCGATTTTTTTTTTTTTTAAAAAAAAAAAAAATAGGAAAACCAAATCATGGACCGTCGATTTTTTTTTTTTTTAAAAAAAAAAAAAATAGGAAAACCAAATCATGGACCGTCGATTTTTTTTTTTTTTAAAAAAAAAAAAAATAGGAAAACCAAATCATGGACCGTCGATTTTTTTTTTTTTTTCGAAAAAAAAAAAAAAAAATCGACGGTCCATGATTTGGTTTTCCTATTTTTTTTTTTTTTTACAATTTTTGTCTACGTAAATTTTTTTCACAAAAACTCAAAGAACAAACGAGCTGTTGATTGGATGTTTGTACGGTACGAATTCGATTAACGACTTCCCTGATTGAATTAATGTACGACGTATTAGTGTAATTGAATATTTGCGGTACGTGGTCGACAATTGTGATTAACCTGCACGATGACAGTGACAATTGCAAATTCACTGCTCTGTCAATGTTTGACAAATCCGGAAGATCGAGCCTATTTCAATATTTCAACCATCACGAAACCTATCAATGACATTTCAAATTTGAAAAAGCACTTTCTCCCATACTTCACCACAGTTTAGATATTCAAATATTTCCCGCCATTGGAATACGATGATTTCACCAATCAGCGCTATACATATATACAATTAACGATTCTTAATTTATCAGTATAGACCTCGGGTCATCGAGTTATCATCTCAGTTCGTATCGTGAATTGTTTAAATGGTGAACGCTCGGGGCTGTAGACCCAGGAAACGTCATAGGCTCAGCTTATTTACACGGTAAAATATTGACTCGCTCGAGGTATCTGAATATACCAGCCGGATTGTTGCCAGTTTCAACTATATAGTGATATCGCATGAATAAGAGCCGAAAAGTGGATAGAAATAGTTTAATCGGCAGGATATTGACTCAAAAAATAAAGAGATAAAGTGTGTGCGTGTATAAAACCCAAAAAAAACTATCATGACACCCTGATACGATTAACACAAGAAATAAATAATAAAAATGAATAAAGGTATGTAAAGTTCTTAAAATATAATCTTCTAGAAATCTTCAATATCATTTAGCATCTTTACTCTATGCAGACATCCCATTACTGAAACACTGCTAACAAATTGAATTTCCAAAGGGTGCTAAGTATTTCCTTAGGTGACGAACGAGTTGCTAGGATCCTTAATGACTTCTACCATTGAATTTACTCCACGTTAATCGTTCCGATTCAAGAGAACCGTCCTGGGATTTAGACAAGAGATATCTGATTGTTTGAGGAATTTGTAAAATGCACAACAAGCAGTGTACTATGTATACTATGTATATGTATGTAGTTGCTGAACAAAGTTAAGCCTATTGGGGGTTGCTCGGTTCTACAAATATATATATATATATATACACTCGTCGTGCGAAAAAGTATTATTTAATTAGTCAGTCTCCATGACAACGTGGTCAAGGTATAATAACGGAAGTGAGAATAGTCGAAGTTCGCTAGCAAGCGTGACAACTCATAGCAATGAAGATAGTAACATGAACGAAGGAGATATATAAATAAAAAGAGATTGAACATCAATAGCGATACAGGCAAAACAGTTTTAAGATTAATATCAGGAAACTGTAGGGGATGATTCTTCAGCCAACAGAGTGGGTTTCCCATGAGTGCGTGACGAAGAGAATTCCTGATCAGGAAGACCGTTGGATAGACTGACAAGTTTATTGGAGCAGAAGCCAAGCAAGTGAGAGCTCATTGACCGTCCAGTTGCTGTGCCAAATGTGTCAAGTAGTCGAAGAGACGAGGAATTGGTTAGTCGATCCTCTGTAGCTCGTCGATGAAAATCCAGCACCTGGTGATATATTTCCATTTCCTTTATTTTTCTAGATTGCCTTTTGCAGAAGCACTGAGAATACTTTTACAATCGATTCGTACTGCAGCGCTGGGAGTTATGTTCTCTTTAAGAAGAAACAGCTGTTCCCAGGAGAACTTGGAGGGTTGTGATGAGTTCGGATGGTGGTTAAGTGAAGAAGTTGCTGCTACGTCTCCCACGAGGAATACGAAGAGTGTGCGTTCTTCGATATCCACTACGTCTATGGTGTCCTGTGTAGACTCGGAGGATCCTGACAATTACTCCATGGCGCAGGAATTCACTGTAAAAATTGAAAATTCAATAAATACAGAAGAGATTGAGCTGAAGCCATTGAATTATGAGCTTGCTACGGAAATGGAGGACGTTAATAGAAAATATGAAATCAGACAGGATATGACGTCGGACTACCAAGAATATAACAAACCCCAAGGAACTTGTTACACACCGGAAAGATTAGTAAGATCAGAAGAATACAGGATACTCATGCCGTCTCCGCGTCGTCTCTCAGTGCCACAAACAGCAGCAACAACGCCAAAAGACAGTCCAAGGAAATACCATGCTCATAGACGTCGACTGAGATATTTGATAGACACTAAAACATTTGGTAAGTTTAGATTTAAAAAATCCATACAATTTATCAGTTCAGTAATATCAATCAGTTAAATAATATCTCAGGCGCTTCTCATCTCGAGGCACTGCTGGACCCAAACGCACCGGAAATCAAGATACCCGTCAACGCAAGAAGCTGTCAACGTGGATATTCGTCCAGGAGGAATTCCACTCCTGTCCAGGATCTCCTGGCTATAGCCAACAGAGAGAGTCCCCTGGGAGTACAGACTCCCGAACCAGCCAGCAGCAGGTCCAGCTATGAGAGATTGAATGAATTCTGGGAGGACGATGATGGCAATCTCATTCTGAGATCCTCCCAAGAGGATACTTCCGGTATTCAAAGCAACGACTGGAGCTCGGACGGTCCTAGTGAATCTCAGACACCCCTTTGTCTCTGCGACGAATTGGCAACAGCATCCAGGAGCTTCATCGTCGGCACCAAATCCCGGGTACTCCCGTAAAACCATCACCTGCGATACCTATTAACAAACGGTCAACCGTAACTCATTTTATTAGAAGAACGTCACCGCCATCAATGAGGTCGTTACCATACTTCAGGGTCTGGAAAAGAATCCTGATCTTGCAGCCATTCTCCTGGACGAGGACCCTCTCTGCCAAGGATTCTCTGGCCATGATCATCTTACCAGACTCGCTTTGACCATTGAACCAGATGGTAACGTACCAACTGTCCAGGGTGACCCGGACAATGTTCAGCAACTGCGTAGCAAGGTCCATCGACTCCAGATAGCTAACAAGGACATCTACAAGGACATCTGTACCCTCAGGCGAGATATACAGGCGCGTTTTTCATTGACTATAAAAAATAAGGAAAGGTCTTAGTTATCATCGTGCAACAATAGCGATAATTCTATAAAAATTAATTAAGGTATTACAATAACAAAGTTCGAATTCGTACCGTCGACACAGCTTCGGCTGGTTCGTTAGCCATCCTGATAATTATTAGATAACCAGGAAGAGATACGAGACAGGAACGATGATACAGTGATAGTCTATCCTGATAGTGATGCTAATGGTCATGACAATAATGGTAGACGGTATTAGCAACATTTCAATGTATTAAAGGAGCTGGTAAATGTCATCCGAGTATATACACACTACACTCATTATTAATTATCCCTGTGGTCACCATTACAATTCCAGTAGCTATCATTTAGTAAGCATGCACTGTGCACCTGTCGTGTGGTTAATGATTAATGATCCTAACCAGAAATTTGTGAGCCATTATCCTGGTCCATTAAGAGTGACCGATATACAAATTTGCTTTAGATAAACTTACCTTAATTTTGTATGCTTTAGGACGACGAGAAGAGGGTGAGCAACCTGATGTCAGAGACCAGTAAGCTACGTAACGAGGTACACGACATGCGATATATGGATGACCTCTTGAATCTTCTACGAGGTGAGCTGGATAGAATTTCACGTAGAAATTGGCCATTTGCTCTTGGTCATACGGAACGTCAGACGGAGGAAATAAATCTTGTGGTCTGAAGAGGAGCCATCATTGTTTTTGGATATACATTGAATTGTTAACGTGCCAATTTTATAGGAAGACAAGTGAAGCGTCTTTGACGAATTTTTCTTGAACGAGAAAAACTGTTTAAAAAAAATGGAGACAATTTTTTCTTTAACGTCTCCGATCGATAGGACAATGTCATGTCGTACGTTTAGATTGTCTTAGATATTTCCTAATCCACATTTGTGCGTTGCTTGTGAGATTTTCCTTTGGATAAGACTTTTTGTTTAATACTCTTGTATGTATTTTTAATAAAAAAAAAATAGGTGAAAAAAACAGTCCGGTTTGACCATTCCTGAAAATATTGTTTGAAAATAAATTAAATGAAAATTATTTCAGATTATATCAGATGATGTATTTATGTCATGACATTTATTCGAGACTTTCTTTTTTTATCTCTTTATTACCTATAAATTTTAATTCACGTATTAACGTGCAGTTGTATAGAATAAAGTATATATTGCAATGTTTCCTATAATCTCTCTCTCGTACTCTCTCATTGTAAATACAGCCAATTAAAAAAATGTTATCTTAGATCCAAGAATGCACTATCAGTACTCTTGTCTTATACTTTAAAGTACGACACATGATTATCGTTGACACGATTTTTTGTACAATATTCACAAACTCTCAAATATAATCTCAAATTATTTTGTATATAGCATGTATATCATATCTATTGTCACTTCTCGGAACGTTCATCTGCCCAAAATAAAATGGAATTATATACATATATTCTTGTATAACTATCTATAACGTAGACGAAGGCCATTAAAACTACTAAAGCGAATCAATATAATGATTACAAAAGAAAAAGAAAATATTTGCTTCTGAATAAAAGTAAAAAGCAATTGATTCAGTGATAAACTTCATGAACAAATAAAAAATATTTAAAATCATTAAACGCTTACACGGTATATGCTTTCTGGATATTTCCAACTTACGTGGAAAGTGTATCGATAAGAAGCACGAGTGTCCTCGGGAAGGAAGATATTACTCATTGTCAGGTTAATTCGCCACCACCGTATAAAAAAAGAAATAAAGCATGCTATAGCTCCTGTGACTTTTAACCGGTATTAATATAAATAATAAAGATGATCACAACGAAAAAAGAGAGGGAATAAAACTAATAATAATAAGATATTCCATACATCCCATAAATACCTCCTCACCCTCTATTGTGTAAATTAAGCACTGAAATAGAAATAGCGAGTCGTCAATATATGATCAACGGCTTGACTAAACGTATAAAAGAATTTCTTGATGAGATAGACTGCCTAAGAAATGGAAGTCTCGAATCCATATAGATTAGTACACCGGAAAACCCCTTAAAAAAACAGCAGAGAAGAGCCTCTACTCCCTAATTTCTTATCACCAGTACGTTGTTGTTCCGTGTGCCAAGTAATAAAATTTGTTGACATTTTGGAAACTAATAAAATAATATAAAATATTTAAAAGGAAGAGGATGAACTAATTGCACTGAATTCCAAAAGCCAAATCCTCATGGCAGTTCTTAGGTGACGTCGGTACGTTGAATGTGTCGTGAGGGTTGTCTAGAAGTGTCGTAATAAGCCACGCCAGCACGCAGCATTTCACTATGACGAAATACGTCATGGGGTGACGATAACGAGGGTAAGGATGGTAACGGAGGTAACAGGCAGCTGAGCATACTCGTTGTACTATCCGAGGAGTAGATACCATTATGGGGAGGACCCATGGAACCCGTACAGGAAGATGATGGAATTGTACCAACTGGATGCACACTTTGTTCATTACTTCCTGAGAGAATGCTTGCTCCAGGTACCATGAGATTTCCTAAAGAATTTAAAAGCATTTCATTACACCCTTGACCAGGTTATTAAAGATTTATTACAAGTTAATGTCTCTTACCAGGAATAGTCATGTTCGATGCACTGGAACTCACTACGGAAGCTATTGACAATGGTGTAACTGTTTGCATATCAGAACTGTCCGAGGGTCTTAGGTGAGGATGATCAATTCTATTGGTAGGGGTGACACGATTTGAACATAAAGATGATGATCGTAGCAAGTCACTACTCCTGGAGCTTCTTCGACCACTTATACGCACTCCTTGTTTTATTGGTTTTCCAGTACCAAAGTGTAACAACTCCAAGTGCCTTCGCAGGTTTCTGGACTGACGTAACAGAGCACCGCACAGTGGACACGTTGCTGGCTGATCTGACACACTTCGAGCCTTGGAGTTACCATCTCCTGGAATGACAATTCATATAGACCATTTGCAAAGAATTTTATTCATATTATAATGGTTGTTTAGATATCTAGCAACGGAAGTTACCTTTCTTCATAGATGACACTTGCTCCATTCATTCATTATAATAAATAATCATCTTGATATTTTAATTATCATGTTACACAGAGTATGCCTTTTATTTACAAATGCGCAGAGATGAATGATACAATGTACAAGGTATATTCTACTATACTTAAGTTCTATTGGCTAGTGTCATTGCCATAGAAGAAACTCTTCGCAATACGTTTTACATGAAGGAACGAGTAATTCTAAGCCGATAAACCGCATGGAAGCCAAATGTTTAAAGATATAAAAAAGAGAAAATAAAATATAAAAAATAATAATCCCATGATTTCTAAACAAATCAACTTGCATGATAAACCTATATGCAATTTATCAACTACCAATCCAGAACTCACAATTCACAGGTAACGAGTAATAACAGGAAGTAAATAATGACAGTATTAAAAAACTAAACATAATAATATCCAACAAGTGCTTCAAAGTAAACCAAAACCTTTATCTTGTGTAAAAAAGGGAAGTGCATAGATTAAAAGGAACTCAATTCCTATTTACCACTTTCAAAAGCACCGATAACATATATCCCTGCCATGTGCCCTATCATATCATAAAGAATAAAGTGCAATAGTGTTTCGAACTTAACAAATAAGCCTAAGTACAATAATAAAAAAGCACTAAAAGAATTGCCTCGATACATTTAAAAAATGTAATAGCAAATGTGTCTTGGAGTCACAAGATTTTTTTAATGTTCACAGGAGATGACATAGACACAATGTTACTCTCATCTGGCGATTGTCGGAGAAGGAATGTTACTAGGAAGGGGTGAAACGACATTGGATCCATGAGACGAGGGTGAATGTAATGGACTTGGTTTACATTCGATTTGCTCACAACTATTATTAGTACCACTGTCAGTCCCGTCACCGGAATTTTGTCCAGTATAACCAGGTATCTCGACTTCCGGTTTAATCTCTATCATCATCGAGTCACTTATGGATTGTTGCGTAGCGCCACTATTAAATCTGTACTTGCACGAGGACAATAAGTGTCTACGTAGATTTCTTGCTTGGCGTAACCTTGCTCCACACAATGGACAAACTCCTGGACAATCCGATGCACCCCGTATCTTACCCGCACCCATTATATTCGCTAGAGAGGTCGCCGCGTACGAGGATGAGGAACAATGGCCAGGCTCTGGAATCGGTACGGCCGGTGAAAGATTAAAAGATGGTATTTGCAGCGGTGAATATGGTTGCATCGGCATCAGGGTAGGATAATTAGACTCGGTATCCATCATCTGCTCCTGGTGCTCCGATTGCTGAGTATTTTCCGCATCGACCGCCAATGGCTGTTGCGGATTTGGCGAATTGGCACTCCAGTGATTCGCACATTCCAAACGCTCGCTTGCTGTCAACAGACACAAACACAATGTTACCATGCGGGGCTGAACTGACGTTCACGTCTGGAAATTTCCGTTTTTTCTATTTTTCATTGAAATATCATTTTATTTTAATCTTGCTCTGCTTCATTGGTTAAGCCAGGTGATGCGAGTCCCATCCAATCGAAATGCAGTTCAACCCAATCGATGGTTGTGCTTGTGTCCGTTTTTCTTAGGTCGAAAGATGTCAATTTCTTTGTAGTTAATCGCGGACGAGTACAATTTTTCATATAGATATACAGCGGACACAAAACACAAGTTGTACGAAATAATAGCGATTATCTTGTTAAGAATCGCAATGTGGATCTAAGGACACTTTGATCTTACCCATATCTTCGGTTTGACTCGTGGTTTCGCTGTCCTTATGATCGTAATCCGCTGTCCTGTTCTCTTGTGATTGGCTATCTAGAGGTCTGTTCTCGGTATTCGTGTGATCGTTTGTTTTTGGCCATTTACCGGATGAGGACGAAGACTTCCTTCTTTTTTTTCTTCGACGCACAGGCAGATAAGAATTTAGTACGTCCCTTGTTAAGGCTTCATTTGCACTAGGTATTGCTGATATTGGTATCTCCTCGCCATTCTAAATAAAAATGTCCAGTTGATTGTTTATAAAACTGTCAAGATTTTGTTTGACTTATGAAAGTGATACATACTTCTGTTAGTATTGTCGGTGGTGTCAAACCATGTATACTCAAACAATGGGCAGCTTGAAGCAACGAAGGTAATTGAGCTGGCTCCACGCTTACTTCACCTCGATATACAAATTCAAGTAACGATTCCAAATCATCTGCTCCGATACCTGCTAGCATCACTACAGGATGTTGGCAAGGTGTACTCTAAAAGAAGTATATAAATATTATAGCCTGACAAAAGGTTAATATTCTCAGATAAACATTCTTAAATATGAAACTGACTTTGAGTAAATCTAGTAAAAAAGGACTTGCTGCAGAGAGGACAATTTTATGTGCAGGAAAACTGCGACCACCAGCTGCCAGAGTAACATCAACCAGTTCCCCATGTCCTCTAAGAAGCTGCACAGCAGATGTAAGGGATGTGCTAAATTCACCCCATGATAGGCTATAAAGCTGACTGGTGCTACCCATTCTGTAACAAGAATTGCATGACCTACTATCAATGCCTCGTAATAACAAAAAGAGAATGGACTAAGAGTATCGACTCAAATCTATCAGTCTAAAAGATTCTACTTAATTATTAACATTTCCAAGGACTAGCAGAAATTCATAACAGAGACTATCTGATGCAACAACTGAAGATCCTAGTTCTACAAAGAAGAGCAGGATCTAACGCCAGAAAAGGTCACGAGTACCAGGTAATCTCCCTACCGCTCTTCGATAATTAATATCCCCTCCATTTATAAAAGGAAGAGGGAATGTCGGCGTCATCCTTAATATAACCTAACACGAAAATAAGTACTTTTTAATAGTGCAACACTCTTCAAAAACTTAGGAATTATCAGGCCAAGTAACGGTGCTGACGGAGGACTTCTTATCTGCATCGGGGGTCTCTAGAGCGTTGAGTGAAAGTAGTAAAGGAACGTAAACTGAGCGTAAGTCAGGTCAGGTTAAAATGTGTCACTTTACCTTCAGTATTTTTATCCTCTAAAACCCTTCAAGCCTTGTCCTAGTTCTATTTCCTATAGCTGCAATAATGTCAGACGACGTATGTCATTTGGCGATGGTCTTTATAACAATCAGCCACTCGAGCAATTCCGAAAACAGATTCAAACTCTGTCAGAGATTACAATGAACATCACATTTCACGATACTGGAGGCGCTACTATCAGACCGGCAACTTCAGATACATTCCTTGGCGTCTCCATGATACAAATAGACGAGGTATAGTCACTGGGGATCGTATTTTAGTCAAGATCGCGCAGGGACCAATGACATCACGTTCTAAGCGACATCAGTTTTACTTTGAGGGGACTTATCTATGTTTTGATTCGTATGGAGATGACCCCTCAAAACGGAACTGATGTTGCACGTGACGACACAGTATACGTAACATCAACCAATTAGAATAAAGAGTGCCCAGTGACGTCACTATCCGATGCGCAGAACCGCTATACCTCGAGATGATACCTCGTCTATTTGTATCACGTGCGTCTCCACTATCCCTCGAGGACCAATGCTTTTGCAGTAGGTCGAGTTTATGACGGATTCTCATGAAGTAATATTGTAAAAGATAAAATGCATTGAACGATGTACAATTATGAAGAAAGATTTCAAATTTTTTCATTCGAATCACTTCATGTATTAGATGTACATTGTGAGAGAGATATTTTTTTTGAATAAAAATTGTATATCTGTCAGTTTGAAGATACAACGTAAGATTATGCGAGACAGTCGATGGCGTTCAGAAATTCATTAGAAAAGTCCATCTTTCAGATGTTGATAAAGAAACATTTTGATTTTTTTCTGTAAATTTTCACAGTAGGGAACTACTATGGCGATGAGTAATGTCATTGCCATTGATTGCCATGACGCATAGTTGTCAGTGACGTTTAGTTGACTGTGGTTTTGACGAGTTTTTTGTAAATAGTGGACTAGTAGCGTATCACCAGCTTCTTTCGTCACGAGGATTGTCAAAGGAACTCACTGTACTGAAGCCAGTATAGTGCTCGAATAACGTCTTTCTTTATAGACTTACTTGTTTCTTGATTAAGCAGCCACAACGGGGGCCGAACAGTCAGCCATGTCCGTCTCTCAGATGGAAAGTATCCTTTGCATAATTTGAATATTTGGAATCATTTATTTAGTGATACAAATCAATTGTCAATCGGTTTTGATAATTTCAATTTATATTCTATATTTGAGTAGTTACATCTGTTGTCTGTGGCCTCAAGCAATGTTAAGGTTCTTATTGAGTGGGGATGATGTTAATTAAACTAGCATCTATTTCGACTATTGTTGATATTAGATTGTCCTAGGAAAGAATTAATTTTAATTGTTTTCCTAAATATGTATCTAGAGAATTTATTCAATTTAAAGTTTGCTGTGAAAGAGTTAGAGCGAAATTCAAAGAAATGCGAGAAGGAGGAGAAGATAGAAAAGGCCAAGGTGAAGAAGGCCATTCAGAAAGGAAATATGGAAGGGGCTCGAATTCATGCCGAAAATGCTATAAGGCAGAAGAACCAAGCATTAAATTATCTTAGAATGAGTGCCAGAGTCGATGCTGTAGCCAGTAGAGTTCAAACTGCTCTAACTACTAGAAAGGTTACGCAATCTATGGCTGGTGTTGTGAAAGCTATGGATGCTGCAATGAAATCTATGAATTTAGAAAAGATTTCTGGTCTCATGGATAAGTTTGAGAGCCAGTTTGAAGATTTGGATGTTCAGAGCTCGTACATGGAGAACGCTATGTCTCAGACAACAACGACTAATGTGCCACAGAATGATGTGGATAATTTGATGCAACAAGTGGCTGACGAAGCTGGATTAGAATTAAATATGGAACTACCTTCTGGACAAATGGGCAGCATTGGTACATCCACTGCTGTTAGTCAAGAACAGGACGAGCTAACGCAGCGACTGGCGCGTCTGCGAGAGTAACATTATATTAAAAATATAGTAATTACTAAATTACATACATGTACTATAATTTTGTATACATACAATTTATGAAGAATCACTTGCAAAAAATTTATGCACAATATTTGGCATAAAGTTATAGCTTGTTAACATTCTATTAAGACAATTGCTTTCAGTACTAACATAACAACTATCTAAGGGAAACAAGAATAAGGAATTTAATTAATATCCAAAGAATGTTTGATAAGGAGCTTCTGCTCTATAAAGAATTTGAAAACTATAATATAGTAATATATAATTAAATATGCTGATGCTTCTTTAAAAGAACAGTGAATTAAGTCGAAAAGATAGTTACAAAATTACTTGAAGAAAATTAAATGCTCCACATTGTTACAAATATCTATGGTACATTAACTTTTTATAAATAAGTGATACGATATATTATTTTGCATCATTATATTCTAAAGATCGAAGCAACTTTCCAATTTTACCGGAAAATAATATTTCAAAGCTATCAAATGCGTAATGCTTATAATTAAACTTATTTTTTAATTATTCTTTTACTGTCCAATTGATTTTGTCGAATTAATTGTTTGTAGCAATGAACACATGTAAATAGATATTTGTATAAACATAAATAATGAACTTTATTTATTACAGTTAAAAACCTATAGTACTATATTCCTTATATTTAATATGGAGAGGTACATTTAAGTAAACATAACATTTTTTTTTAATAACGCGAATAATCGCAATAAGTTAATTAGTATAGTAAACTCATTAGAATTTTATCCACTAGTTGTGCTATCAAATGAATAATCCATTTTTTTTATCCAAATGTTATGGTAAGGAGCACGTTGAGTCAAACTAAGCCTTTTTGATACACTCAATTCTAAAATATAAATAACAATTACTTAGTAATGTATAAATTTTATCACAAATATAAATTTAATACGTAAATATTAAACATACCTATGCAGAATTTGAAGCAATCCGCAGCATCTATTTTCGTATTGTGTGAAGGTGAACAAATTTCTACGAATTTGATAGCCTGTTTATCATGCCATAATACTTCTAAATTTGCAAGGAAATCCTCCTTTATCCATTGTCTTTTTAATGTTTGAATTGACCTGCGCAAAAAAACACCGTAAAGTACTTTGGAAACTAAATATTTCTGGATCACATCATAAAAACTTTATTTACCTTTCGGAGCACAAAGAACTGGCTCTTAAGGCATTTTTTTCGAGTTTTTCTCGCATACGTTTCTGTATATTAGATTTTCTCATTACTGGTGGTAAAAATTCATCCTTTTCCTCAGAGTCATTTATCTCCCTACAATAAAAATATTTACAACAATCAAATTAAAAAAGTATTAAATTTTTGAACCAGCACAGAGAGCTGCTCACATTGCTGGTACTTCTGGTTCCATTGGTTTAATTTGAATTCCATTCGCATTTTCCGGTACATCCGGCATCTCAGGTACTGATATCTCAGGCATAGTTGCTCCAGCTCTTTCTACCTCCATAAAAGGTATACTTTGTTCTTCAAATTTTGTTTTATCAATTGTATCCTGTTTATCCTTTCTAGAAATATGGCTGGAAAACTCTTCAGTTTGATTTATAGTATCCGCACGTCGCATCACTTCAGTAGCTATAATACGAAAAATGTATTATACCCTTATTGATTTATATAGTATACCACAACATATAAAGAAATAATCTTTGCTTAAAATTCATACAAAGCGAAGCTGACAATGGCTTCAAGACTGTTAATTCCTGATACGTCTCCGCATGTATCTCAGCTGTCGTCGGATTTTCGAATAAGGAATATAACTTGCTAGCCCATTTTCTAGAACGCACACTTTCCATAATGGTTGCAGGCGTCTTCAATAACTTTTCAGGCCCTGACAAATAATCTTCGCAGATGAAAGTAATCAGTCTCTTTTGCATAGCCTAGAATATTTTTAAGATTTAATTAATGTCTCTCTATATTACCGATGATAATTAATCGTCTTCACTTACCACTGTATGAACATTCACATCGTTAATCATAGCCTGAAGTGTGCCTGTTGGTATTTTAATTCTGGTATCGGCGAAAATTCGACGTCTTAGTCTTCTTGATCTCTTCATACGTCTTATCAAATCTACATCTATAGGTTCTAGATCCATTTCAGAATCCTGCATATCTTTAGGAATGACAGTTGATTCTACCGGATGAGCTTCTTCAACAAATTCATCCTCCAACTTTGTGGAATACAATTCAATTATTTCTTATAGATCATTATAGCTATTTAATCCAATTGGAATACTAACGCGTCTTCTTTTGGTTGGTGTATCCACTTCCGGATGTTTGGATAATCTTTTACTTGGAGTTTCCGGCATCCCGATACTCGGGATATCTGGAGGATTCACTCCCATTAGCGATTCTACGACATCGTCTGGCACAGAAATATTTATATCAAATCCACGCTGATCTAGGGTAGCCGCTGCAAAAAATTGTTGAAGACAAAATTACACATTTCTAGTAATTTTGCAATAAAAAATGTTTATATTTACCAGGTATAACAGGTGAGCCACGCGATATATTTACAGCCGTTGGTCTTTTTCCTATAGCGTGCCTTTCTTTTCTTAAGTCGTATGATGGACTTTTGACTGCAGCAACTCGAATTTCACGACCAATTATTGGTTCCGAATCCATTCCATTCACACCAGGTAACAGCATTACCGGTTCTCTATTTTATAATTATAAATGGCTTTATACAAATGTAAGAATTCGTTCATTTTCGACACCAGACCTCAAGTTTAAGGTAGAAGAAATAAAGAAGGTATAAAAATAATATAGGATGCGATTACTACATTAGGCGTTCGCTTAAATGCATGAAAAGACAGATAGAAAAAAGAAAGAAGCAAACTAACGACACAGTCATTTCATTCTGCATGAAAAATTCTTCCATTTCCATATCAGTCAATGCACCAAAATTCAAGCAATCAGCATCTTGCATCTGTATAATAAAGATACAAGATTTATATCATTCCAAATGAATTAAACACATGCAAAGCATATAGTATATATTCAGCAGTTCTTAAAGATTTCATGCTTTCGCATATAATAGTACTTACCAAATTTTGTAATTTGGCATTGATACCTAAATCCTCCCGAAGTGTATGGAAATCCTGTTCATTTATATCACTAAAAACTAAGTTCAATGTGAGAGGTTCTGGTACAGTATATTCTTCAATCTCACTCAAATTCAGTCGTCTATTGAAGTAAATATATAAATATAATTAAATACTATTATAACATTGTTGATGATGACATAAGTTTTTAAAACCTTTTTTTCTTTGGACTCCCATCAGTTATTTCAACACGCTCCAATTTTATTCTAAGTTCAAAGAGTTCTTCTGTAAGTAAAAAAAAAGGTACAAATAGCAGTAAAATTACATGGTAAATTGGGTAATAATTTTTATCAGAAGTAAGTCACTCAGATATATATATACTTACTTTGAAATATATTTATCTGGTAATAGTGTATTTTTGCAACTCCATACATTAGTTGTGATGACAAATATAAGCTATATCTTTGTGCACGCCTGTTAGTTGCGGTGCAGATAGTTCTTAATATCTCATCGCTGCAAAATTAATAAGGGAAAACTAATGCAATAGTCATCTTAAAAGCTAATAAACATCAAATGATTATTTTCTTCAACACTAAATATAACGTACCACACAGCAATGAGATCAGTATCTCGAATTGATGAACTCTTAAATTTCTTTAGAAAGAGTTTCTCGTTTAATGTTGCAGCAAACCAGCATTTTGCAAATTTGCCTCTACGGCGAGCTGATAACAGCTCTACTGAGTAATACATCTAAAATAAAATAGTCAATTTTTTAAAAGTATCTCATAATTGATACATCATTTTGATACATTGTTATAAATAACGCCTAAGTTTATGTATATGTAAATTATATAGAAAATCTAAACAATTGAATTCTGTCAATTGTTAAAATTCAGCAGAATTTAGAATGCTTTAAATACTTGAGTAATGCTCTTGTTTTCTTTAACAATATTCCTTTTCTATGTGCTTGGCTTGATAAATGAACGTCGTCCGCGTCAGTTCAATAATTTCCTGTATCAGCTTCTATAGTGCAATACATTCAAATTTCGTACAACTTTATATTTTGTCTAACTTGTCCAATTTCATTGGTAGGATTAACGGTTATCTTAAAAATGTTCTTAAATCCTTCCTTTCTTTCCTTATGGCTGACTCCTCCAATGAGGAGATGTGCCAGTATGTTCTTAAATCTGCCAAAGTATTTTCTGTCTAGTATATTGAACCATAGATATAGAAATATCGAGATGGAGCATAAACTGGTACCAGAGCAGAGATGAACGGGTAGCCTGGCGCGCAGAGATTCTCCACAACTTACAACTGAATCCCAGAGCAACCCTTAGAAAGAGGCCGCTTATCAGATATTGCCTAAATCTTTTTTTTTTGTAATCTTAAATTCAAATGTACAGTGTAAGCTCGATAAGATTTACTAAGACAAAAGCCAGCACCTTATGGCTGCCTGTGTTAAGGAGTGTAGCGATGCGGTGCTAGCTTCTATCATTATTTAACAATAGTTCCAAGCGGAACTATGGTCCCAACAGTGTAAGCTCGATAAGATTTACTAAGACAAAAGCCAGCACCTCATGACTGCCTGCGTTAAGAAGTGCAGCGATGTGGTGCTAGTTTCCACCATTATTTAATAATAGTTCCAAGCGGAACTATGGTCCTAACATTGAGTACTAGAGAGAACTAACCTGGAACTATTTGAAACAATCTGAAAACAACACTGAAAGCCAGCTCCTTATGCATACCTGTACTGAAGCGTATGTTGCGACTAGTATCCTTAATAGGTATTTTAACGATGTTACGTAGCAGAACTGTTGTTAAAACCTATCTGGAACTATAGAACTCCTCGAGAGCTATTGAAAAAGCTTATTGTTGAATCATTTTCAAGAGA